TTCCTTCCTTCCTTCCTTCCTTCCTTCCTTCCTTCTGCAATATGAGTTCCTGAGTTCCTTTTCCACTTCAGGCATCTTCTTACTATTGAGAACTTTGTTTTAATTTATTGTTAAGCAAGCCTTGTTGAAGAGTTATTAGAGTGCTGAAGGCACACACACAGACATCCAAATCATGAACAAAAAGCTGGATAAAACCATGGTGCAGATATGGAATTCAATTTTCCGTCTCCTCATCCTACTCACTCCCAATTTATGGCTGAATATGTCGTTTTCTGAATCTCCCTTCACAGTTCTTCAGTTTGGATTCACAACCATCTTTGTGGCAGCTTTCCCACTTGCGCCACTCCTGGCCTTGCTTAACAATATTATTGAAATTCGGCTTGATGCATATAAATTTGTCACACAGTGGAGACGGCCATTAGCCTCAAGAGCTAAAGATATAGGTAAGATGTGTATTGTCGTTCATATGAACTTTTTGGGAGTTATCAACATTGTTAAGGTTCTCATATAGCAGATGTGACACTAGATTTTCTTCCCTAACTTTAATGTAGAAGACTTTAACCATAGAATATTCTTATGCTTCTTGCATCTTATTTCAAGCTCAAAATCTGAATAGTGCATCCTAATAAGGCTGAATACCCCAACATACAGCAAGACAAGACAAAATTCTCATAGACTGGAGGAGTATTAGCATACCATATTTCTGTCAAATTTGGAGAATGCCAGATTGGCAGTGGTGGATAGTAGGACTGTACCTAGCTGCATAGATCCAGCAATATATGCACCATATATATTCAATACTTTTTCAAAATTATGCTTACATGAGTATTTCTTTTCAAATCTTAGCTTTTTAAAGGACCAACAAATTAAATATTCAAATTCACATATAATACTAAGCAAACTATAGATAAAGGCTCCCAGGTTTGTTTAGCTATTGTCAATGGGAAAAAGAGCCAAGCAGACATGAATGAACAGGGTGAACCACCATCATACACTACTTGCTTGTTACAGAATGTTCTTTTTATCTGTGTCTTACCATGAGCCTAAGAACTATTTATCTTCCATTTTTATGCTTATTCATCAATATTTCAAAGTCATACTGTATATCCCAGCATCAGTTATAAAAACAGCTTGATAAAATGTCTACAGTGAGAATTAACATTTTGTCTGATTTGTGATGTCCAGCCTTTATGGTGTCTGTATGGCGGTCATTTTCCCCCTAATAAGCAGTTACAAAGACTCTTTTCACTGATGGATAGAGGACATAGTTGCCCACTAGAAATCATTATAGATGGGCACTCTAAACCATTGGTTGAAAAACATGGCCCTCTGAGGTTGCCAGCTGATTGAAATTCTGTTACTTGGATATGATCATACCTTTAAAGCTTTTGAAAAGCCAGATAATTAAACTCTTTCAAGGGGAAGTCATCAATCTATGCAACTAAGCTGTTTAATAGCAGTGCTGCCTAACTTTTATGAAAATCAACAACAACATGGTGGCTTAATGCAATTTATTTTTGTAGCAGCTAAACAACACATGTTGGGAAAGTGTGAGGGCAAGAGGAGAAGGGGACGACAGAGGACGAGATGGTTGGACAGTGCCATCAAAGCTACCAACATGAATTTGACCCAACTCCAGAAGGCAGTGGAAGACAGGAGGGCCTGGCGTGCTCTGGTCCATGGGGTCATGAAGAGTCGGACATGACTAAATGACTAAACAACAACAAAACAAGACAATATCATACACTGGAAATAGACTTAAGGATAGAGTGATGCTTATTAAGAGTATGGAAAACAGATGACACATTGAAAATGAATACACACATACACAGAGAGAGGAATAACAGGGAGTGATCTATTTATGGAAAGTGGGCTTCCCTTTCTTTGTTATGTGAACTTGAGACCTTCGAGTATATGTCCACTAGTGATCCAGATTTCTTTGTGGTGGCATGTAATCGGCTGCAAATAAAAAAGATTAAAACTTAACAGTGTTAGTTACTGATAAGAATGCATGCTCACAGACAATTACTTGATAGAAATATCAGTTATTACCACTTTTGCTTACCATATATTGTTCCTGTGTGTTTGGAATGTAATGTGTTAAAGAGAAAACAGCAAGTTCCTTTGCCAAAAAGTAGTTCCTGCTCTGCTCAGTTGGTCATAATTATTGGTATTGGACTATATATGTGAGAAACACATTAATTGAAGTAGTGATCACTTCTTTGCATGTTTATACTTGAACTACTTCTTATGTTATTGTCTCTAGAATTAACATAATTGAAGTAGTGATCACTTCTTTGCATGCTTATACTTGAACTACTTATGTTATTGTCTCTAGAATTAACGCAGCATTTTCTTCAATGCACAGGAATCTGGTATGGAATTCTAGAAGGCATAGGAATACTTTCTGTCATCACAAATGCATTTGTGATCGCTGTAACCTCTGATTTCATTCCCCGGCTTGTTTATGCTTACAAATATGGACCATGTGCAGGTCAAGGGGAGGCTGGACAAAAGTAAGTTTTCATTTTGGAAACATGGTACATGCTCATCCAGGTCTCGAAAGCAGACTTGAGTCTCGGTGCATTGCCAGCAGCTGATGGTACCCATTGTGGTTGGTGGGGCAGACGTCAGTGCACAGGAAGGCAGAGATAGGAGTGGCAGGCAGGGATGTATGTACAGATGGTTGCACAAACATACAAATAAGCAAGCAGGCATGCAGGCATTCACATGTACAGCTGGAAAGATCCCAGCTGCCTGCCTCTAGTAAGGAGGCAGGCAGGTTTTCATGGTTGAGAGGTAACCTAAGGCTGAAGGTTGCATTTGCCCTCATCAACAAGCCTTTGCTTTCTGTTTTCTCTACCCCACCCCCTTCTTATCAACATGGAGATCGGGAGGAATTTGAAATTGCATTGGGTCAGGGGGTTTTGTCTGTTCTGTGGGTGCTGGCTTGTTTTTTACATGGGAATAAGTTTCATATCACTGAAAATGAACTGTGTCTATATACACCCCATGACCAAAGTTTGTTAGAATGTAGCTCACTGATTTTGTTGTTAACCTGCATGTCTCAGAAAAATACTTTAGAATGAAGCGAACCTGGATGTTGCTAGTCAGTATCACCCCTCAGTGGCTACCATCTTGATGGAATTCATCGTAAATGTTGAAGTCAATGTTTGCTTATAGACAGAAGCATTCACCATAACAAATTGTTGTGCCTGCAACCCATGTTTTTTCATGAGAAACTGAGACATGGTGCAATAGGAAAGCCTGCTGAAGTGGCTAGATGTTGTGGGCTAGCTATTACCTATTCCTGCTTTAAACCTTTTTATAAATTTTTAAAAGCCAGCAAATATGTACATATGTAATTAATGTTATTCGACATACACCAGTTCTATAGGTTATGGGATTCTGTCCATTTTGTTATTAAGGCATAACTAAACTAACAGACCCATTTTGCAAACAAGGTTACCCCTTTTCAATGACTACCTGGGAGAACTAGAAAAGAGCAAAACTGTTTGTTTTTATCCTTAACATTTTCAGGCAACCATATATTTCCAACCTGACATAGGCCCTTTCCCAACAATTATTTGCTGAAGAAAGAAAAATGGTGTTTCACCAGATCCATTTAAAAGTAATGGTAGTAATCTCACTCCATAGGTGGGATAGCCCTAGGAGAGACCTCCTCAAAGCCTTAGTCAATTGTTGCATTTGCTTCAATATTATTTGTTAATTGCATTGCTATTCATTATGTCAGTGATACAAATTGGCTAAAATCCTATTAGTGTTTGCATATAGTTTGTGTAACTTGCTGTGGCTAATGTGGCAGATATTTCTACCCTCCATTTGTCTTCCATACTGTGGTCATTGTTCTGTGTTGATTTTTCTTTTGCCACTTTTTCTAGTTCTTGCAATTCCAGTTCTGAAAACACTGTACTCCGGATGATAAACCTTCTCTGGTCCATTCATTGTTGTTCAGTTATGTCACTACTTGGGTGTTTCCTTTTCCAAACTTCCATCGTTCTTTTTTGAAAACCACGGGCTGTTGGGTTTGCCTTGTAGTAACATTTCATAATTTTTCAATTTTTGGTGAGAGGCCAAGTTTTGCATTTACGTTGTTCCAGTAGCTTTGCAGCAGCCTGTCCTGGTTTCTCAACAGGGTCTGCTGAGCCCTGTAACCCATTTGTCACCAGATGCCCAGGCCTATAGCATCTGACGTGGTCCTTGTTGATCCAAGTGATGACCGATCCAATATAGATTTCTGTTTATCATAATTGATGGTTGGTGGACACAGTTTGGCTTCCCAGCTTAGACCTGTCTGGCTTGTCTTCAGTGTAGCTCTCAACCTCACTGAAGTGGTTTCTCAACAGGGTCTGCTGAGCCCTGTAACCCATTTGTCACCAGATGCCCAGGCCTATAGCATCTGACGTGGTCCTTGTTGATCCAAGTGATGACCGATCCAATATAGATTTCTGTTTACATAATTGATGGTTGGTGGACACAGTTTGGCTTCCCAGCTTAGACCTGTCTGGCTTGTATTGATGGTTGGTGGACACAATCTGGCTTCCCAGCTTAGACCTATCTGGCTTGAGACTCTTCAGCGTAGCTCTCAACCTCACTGAAGCACGCAAGCCCCTCCACCTCATCAAGGCCTGTGCCCATGGAGGGAATTGTTGTTGTTGTTGTACAGTGGCCAGAGTTTATTGAACTGTCTGTTACGTGATATGATACCAGTCACATGAAAGCCACTACCAGCATCAGAAGACTTATTTGGAAGAAAAGTGGCACCAGTGTAAAGAGCAAGAGTTAAATGTTAGATGTCTTCATAAATGCACCTTCAATTCAACCCTAGTTGGTTTAATAATTTTAAACTACATTTTACTATTCAAGGAAAATGCCCTAACATGAACAGTGGTTTGAATCAAGAATTAGTTCAAGTTATGCGGATTGCAATAGAACAACTCTAAGTGTGACTAAGCTTGTATCCCACCTAGCATGTACTGTATCTTATTAAAATTATGGAAAGGAGGGTAATTTGTCACAGCCCTGTGGTGTATATAGTTTTTGAAAGACTGTATATTTAGTATCTCTCTATAACTAGCCATTTTGTAAAGATATATATTCGCTCATAGACTGTGGAATATCTTCTTAAACCGTTGTATGTCTGTAGGATGCAAAAGAAGTCTTTTAAATGATTGTCATTCTCTGAGGTTATGAAAAGAAAATTGAAATAACTGAAGTAATATTAACCTTTCCGAATGCTCCCAGAAAACAGAGCGTAAATCTCAGCAAGAAATGTTAAGATAATTAGAACACTGCTATTAACTCTGGTCTTCCAAGTTGTATGCACAAAGGATCAATCTCGGCAGCTGACAGATAGTTCTTCATCATGGTCTTTGTGCATCACACATAGGAGTTTTGTCCTGCACACGCACAGCAACCTTGGAGATTCCTAGAGTTAAAGCAAAAGGAAAAGCACTTCCAGTGGGAGCTCCACATGGCAGCATGCTGGTATAAATAGCCAGAGGTCTTGCCAGTTTCTTTCCATCCTCTGCTTTGTTCTTACCTTGGAGATCTCTAGAGACAAAGATTCCTATGGTTATGCCTTGGCTAATCCTACTTGGATCATTCCTCTGATTCTCCCTCCTCTCAGCTAGTTGACATCTGCTTCCCCAGTTTAACATGGCTTGCAGTCAACTTTGCCTTCACACCTCACGGCAGCAAAGGCCTCCTTCAAGAAATGCACCAAGTGCAGAAGCAAAATCCTGCACACTGGTGGCTGTATTTCAGGATGTGGATGGTCATGAGTTTTTGTCAAGACATGTGAATTAAGCCTAAAATACAAATTCTGTGTTTTCTGATAGGGGAAATTCTTGTTTCCTAGGTGTATGATTGGCTATGTTAATGCAAGTTTATCAATATTTCTGGTGTCTGATTTTGAACATCGCTCAGAACCATCTTCAAATGGAAGTGAGTTCTCTGGGTCACCACTGAAATACTGCAGGTAAAACAATATATGTAAATACACCACAATATGGATCATAATGTAGATCAAATATACCACAATGTAGAGTGGCCCAGTGGGCCAGATAGGCGGGGTATAAATCAAACAAACAAACAAACAAATAACCATTTGCTACCACCACCACTGATATTACAATGAAGACACTGTCTTCTTGAAACAGTAAATTACCTCACAATACATGAACAATAGATTTAAAAGTCCATCCCTAGATAATCCCAAAATGTTTGTTTAAATGAGAAAAGTCTTGACAGCTAATCTGAATTGACCATTAAGGAGAATTGGCTAAAAGGCTGAGCCACAAAATGAGAAACTCTGAATTCGAGTCTTTCCTCTGTAAGTAAATCTCTGTCAGCCTCTCTTCAACGAATAAAGCGAACAGTGGCTTGAATGAGAGAACAATTCAATGGAAAGTCAAAAGATTCTGGGGCCCAAATCCTGCTGCATAACACACGCAAAATCATAGGTTTCAGTTCTTGCAGATATAGGAAGGACCCCCTCCTGTGATTTTTGAGGCTAGTTTTGTCTTTGTGCACGTCCCTGAGAATCATTGAAGGGGGGAAATTTATTCACCAGCAAGGAACTGACCAAAATTTATGACTTTATTCACATTATGCGAGAAGATTTCGGCCTATAAGTTATTATGTGGATTTGAGTGGCTGCGTAGTTCAGCAGTTCTTGAAAAATACAAGATAATTTGTATGACTTGCAGTAGTTTAATGAATTTCATTTGACTTATGGTGACCCTTTTCAGGGTTTTCTAAGTAGAGAAATAATGTACAGTCATTTACCATTCTCTTCTTCTAAGAGCACCCTAGGACTTGCAGTTTGCCCAAGGCTACACAAGCTGGCGCTGCCTGCAGGAGGCTGGATAACCTAGTAGTTTAAATATCTGCTTGTGGAGCCAGAGGTTGGGAGTTCAATTCCACACTCTGCCTCCTGACAGGAGTCAGCCAGCATGGCCATGGCCAAGCTGCACAGTCCCAAGGTGCTCCCAGAGGAGAATGGTAAACCACTTTTGAATATTGACTACCTAGAAAACTCTGGAAAGGGTCACCATATGTCAGAATCAACTTGACAGCCTGCAGTTATTATATTCCCTACATGCATCCAGCTCCTTTCATATAAGTTACTCATTGTCAGATGTGCTGTAGTGTACTTGCTTCCTTTCTTTATCCTTCTGGAATCCTATTGCTGATACATACTTCTATAAACACACTGTAATGGCATGCACAAAGATTTCTTGTTTGTTTTTTAGATACAGAGACTACCGTGAACCTCCTCATTCTCCAGTGCCCTATGGATACACATTACAGTTCTGGCATGTCTTAGCAGCACGGTTGGCTTTCATTATTGTTTTTGAGGTAAGATTCAAGGCTGAAATGAAAATATGTAGAATTATTTTGTTCCAGAATGTTACATTGGTTTGCATTCAGTTTGTTTTTAAAGTATCACAAAAAAATAAAGATCACTTGTTTCTGATTGTCTCAGTTACGTTGTAAACCACCCAGACAGACCTCTGGCTAGATGGTATATAGATAAAATAAAATAATTCTGTGCAGAAGATCCCAGTAAAGCAGGAGATTTGTGGTGCATACCATGGTGTCAGTAACAATCTTACGGTTAAATCAAAATTTGAAATTTCTGAGATGTGGAATTTTACATGCCCTACCCTTATTATCACAGAAAAAGGAAATAAAACATGTTAAATTCATCTTTTCTCTTTCCTAGTATGATATTCAGCTAGGAATTGTTATGGGCTAATGCAGAAAGCTCTTCAAATATTCATCCCAAAAGATTGTTAAGAATTAATAACTTCTCATATAGCTCTTGATCATGGATTTAATACAATATTATAATTGCATTTCACCAAATTGTTGGTATGACTATGTTCCTGTTTATTACAGTTTTGAATGAATTGATACTTTATTTAACACAACCAAATACAGGTTGTAGCCAAAATATAAATAAACTAAAACACAAGTTACAAAACTTATATATAGAATAAAATGAACATATGAATACACAAAAAAGAAATGCAGAAACAGAATCTAAGATTCAAAGCAAGCTACACAGCTTTCACAACAAATTTGGCCATATTAACCATTACAGATTCACTTATACTGGGAACAAAGTATTTGATCTTACCGATATCCTTAAGGGAAGTAGGGCCCACTAATAGTTTAGCAGCATACTTTTTCCTAAATGTTTCATCTAATTTACAATATAATATGTAATGTACAGTATTCTCTCCCTATGGTCTATCACAAATGAATAAACACTGACCTCAGAATTTTCTTAAATCTTCTTTCCAGGAAATTGGTTGGGGTCCTATTGGTTGCGCTACAGATCTCTGGTGACACCATTAGCCATGGCAATGCTGCTGCCATTTTGTCAAATTCCACAGAATTGTTGATTAAAATAATTTAACTGCTTTTATATTTCCTTTTTCATTGAAACAGAAACATTCAAAAAGCTTACAGAATTAGATATTGAAAAGATAAGTGCTGCTTTAACAAGTGGGATGACTTGGCTAGTGAAAATGTAAACAAAAGGCAGCTAAACCCTTGTTCCAAGAACTTCAGAAAGATAAGCAAGATTAAAAGCTTTCCGGTTCTCTCTCCCACTACACTTTGGGGATCTGTAGAGATCCTCTTCATTGCAGGAAGCCTTTGGAGCTGCAGAAAGGTGTAAAGAATGATTTAAAGCCAGAAAGTATGTTTTTAAAAGTCTTTTAACAAAAAAATATAAAATTGCCTTTACTTCCTGTTTTTCACACAAGTAAGCTGTGAGTGCTCTTAATGGAAGATCCAATAAAATATGACACACACCCTTCTCCATTGATTCACCAGTTGTTAAGGTAGAGAGAATATTTGAGCTGGAAAGAGCCTATAAGGCCATTCAATCCGACCTCCTGCTAAATTAATATAGGTTGACCATTAAGAAGTACCTCAAACATGCTCAGCAGATGTTTGAGGTAAAAATCAGTTTATAAAAGAAAAATCAAAATATGTGCAGAGACACAACCGCAATGATCCTGGTTTTATTGTTACTTGAAAATGTAAAATACATCTGAGTACTCACTGTGCTGCTGCAATTGCCATTTTATTCATGACTTTCAAAAACTTTTTTACAGCACCTCGTGTTTTGCATAAAACACCTGATTTCCTATTTAATCCCAGACCTTCCCAAAGATCTAAGGGATCGTATGAGAAGGGAAAAATACCTGATTCAGGAAATGATGTATGAAGCAGAACTGGAGCGCCTCCAAAAAGAACGGAAGGAGCGGAAGAAAAATGGAAAATCTTACCACAATGAGTGGCCATAATTAAAATGGGTGAGCCTTCCTAAAATATACATTGGGAGAGTGCTGTATAGCAGCAGAATGAATGGGGAACAGCTGCACCCTCTGGCTGTTATGCTGGGCAGGCAGACCAGAGTGAAAACCTTCCTTTTCTTGTATGCTTGCACCACAATATACTTCCTGAACCTCCCTCTCTACCCCTGCTGGCCAATACCAGACTGGTAGGAGAACCCCATTCCCCGCTGGTCAATCAGGGCTGGTAGAGGAGCCTCTGGCAGCTGCCCCTCCTTGCTCCACCAGACTGTGTGGCTCCCTCCATGCCCGTCCCAGCACCCCAAGCCCAGGTAAGCCCTTCTCAGTAGCAACTAGGGTCACCCAGGTGAGTCTGGGCTCCCATTATTTGTTAGGGCCTTTGCATACGAGGCTTTTATTATGCAACCATTTTATCTCATTCATTGAAACTTATCACTTTCTAGATATCATCTTCAACTGATATCCCTCTGGTGTTTCCCCACCAATTTTTCTTATCTGATAATTAGTGGTAGAAAAGGCAGAACAGCTACACAGTGCCTTTTCATTAAAAGCATTAAACATTCACTAATTATTAGTACTGTAAATGTTTTCAAGGTTTCTGTGATACTGGTAGAAATCCTATTGACATAACTATACCCGATGAAGACTCATCAGCAGAAGCAATTTTCAGTAGTTAAAAAGTTTGTATTTAGTCTTGCAGCTTTTTCAAATTCTAAATACATGACTGGCTACATGAGTGACTTTTAGATGGACTGTTATGCATTGCTGCTCTTACTGCATCCTTAGTTCTACTTGTGTTTACCATCTGAGAATGGTATTTGGTCCTTTTTAGTATTTGCACACCTATTATTTTAGCTTTAAACATTGTCTTTTAAAGATTTATTGATTTATTTATTTATTTATTTATTTATTTATTTATTTATTTATTTATTTATTTATTTATTTATTTATTTATTTATTTATTTATTTATTTATTTATTTATTTATTTATTTATTTATTTATTTATTTATTTATTTATTTATTTATTTATTTATTTATTTATTTATTTATTTATTTATTTATTTATTTATTTATTTATTTATTTATTTATTTATTTATTTATTTATTTATTTATTTATTTATTTATTTATTCATCTAATACCCCGCCTATCTAGTCATTTCGACCACTCTAGGCGGTCCACCGTTGTATACAGTGATGCCTCACAAGACGAATGCCTCGCACAACGAAAAACTCGCAAGCCGAAAGTGTTTTGCGATTTTTTTTGGTGACTTGCAAGACAAATTTTTCTATGGCTGCGCGTCGCAAGACGAATAGGAACACATTAAGTTTCAATGCATTCCTATGGGAAACCACGCTTCACAAGACAAAATTTTCACAATACGAAACAACTCGCGGAACGAATTATTTTCATCTTGCGAGGCATCACTGTACTCAGTTTTCAGCTTTGGATGTTGTCTTTCAATGATGTAAGCCCCTTTGGGTCCTTTTTAAGAAGAAAGGCAGAGTGAAAAATATTTTAAACAAACAATCAATCCCTCTCATTACATGGAAGCTATGGGAACAGTGAGATAGAAGAAGGTCCTTGGTGACAAAAATCACGGCTGCTAGATGATATTACTGGCAGAGGAAGATTTTTGGTAATTAAAGAATTCTTCCTTCCATCATATGGCTCCTACATGATGAAATGGATCACATGGGAGTAAAAAAAGAGAAAGGGCAGAAGTAGGAAATTTTTAATTACTGAAAATTACCCCTGCTGGTTATGTCATTACTCTTTACATTACATTAAGTAATGTATGTCATTACTCTTTACATTTACATTAAGTGTAAACTACATAACAGGATTTCAGCCAATGTATGCGTACATATTTGCTTAGTGAAAAAAAAATCCCTCCAGTTACAAAAAAAAGTAGTCTTGGATGCTGTTATAGGTGCTCATATTCCATTAATTTCATTTGGCTTTTTTGTGCATAATATTGGTATTCTGATGATCCAGGTGAATAAACGGTATGAACAATTTTCCTTACTAGGTAATATTCTGTTGTTATTTTCTTGTATTTGCAGATAGCAGACCTATATTCCATTTGATTATTCCACTTTCAGAAGACTACTACCTTCAAGAGAATGAAAAACAGATGCAATCCCAATGCATGCCACAATATGATATAGCAAACAGGGCAGACCATTTCAAGGAATTAACAACTGTGAAGACATGTTGCAATCAACATGATTGCTATTCATACACCATTCTAGACAAAAAAGAAAGAGAGCATGTAACACCAGTTTTTAAAATCAAGAAACTTGTATACCATGGACTATTTTTCAGCCCGTTTGCTACTCTTTTGCATTATGTTCCATGCCACTTTTTCAACTCTTAAAATCGCAAACGCATACAAATCTGGATACTTTAGCAACACTTAAAATATCATCTCCTACAAAAATACCATGTACATCAGATACACTATGTATCTATTTGCCATTGGATTTTTTTTATTTTTATTTTTGGAGGGGAGATCTCATATATCACACATATGTATAATATATATATATATATAGACTGTTTATTTGTAAATAGATAAAAATTAAAATTATGATGAAGAATGTCAAATTTTCTCTTTAAAAATATCATCAACATAAAGTCATGTTTAGTGCTTCTATAATGTGAAACAATACACTTTAAAATAAATTATGGATGAAATTCTTACTTTTGTGTCAAGGTAGGTTATTTTACAACACAGTAAAAATGTGGGAAGGGACGTGGTGGCGCTATGGGCTAAACCGCAGAAGACCGTGCTGCAGGGTCAGAAGACCAAGCAGTCGTAAGATCGAATCCACATGACGGAGTGAGTGCCTGTCACTTGTCCCAGCTCCTGCCAACCTAGCGGTTCGAAAGCATGCAAATGCGAGTAGATTAATAGGGACCACCTTGGTGGGAAGGTAACAGTGTTCCGTGTCTAAGTCGCACTGGCCATGTGACCACAGAAGATTGTCTTTGGACAAAACGCTGGCTCTATGGCTTGGAAACGGGGATGAGCACCGCCCCCTCGAGTCGAACACGACTGGACAAAAATTGTCAAGGGGAACCTTTACCTTTACCTAAAAATGTGAGAATTTACTGCAGGATTGTCTTTTTAAAGCTGATCATCTAACTTAAGACTGAATCACCTTAGGGTCTACTCCCAAAATAGGCATGCCTGAGATTTAAGTCCAGTTTAGGAAGGCATAACTTCTCTAACATCTTAAAGTATTTGGCAAGTGAGTATGGGTGTGTTAAGTATTTGGCAAGTGAGATACAAGGTTGTTTGTTTTGTTTTGTTGTTTTTGTGGTGCTACTCTGGCAATCTGTTTCTTTACTGCTTCCTTTTTCACTAGAACTAGAAATTTTATTTCAAGGGAAATTTGATGGCAATGCCTACATTGATTGCTGCCCATTTTCCAATGCTTTTTACTAGTAAGTTCTGGCTTTTGTTTTGTTTTTAGGTATTGGTCAAATATTTTGCTATCACTTTTTAGAAACTCTTAGTTACCCTTCCACTTTTATTAATTTATATTAATTGCAATTTATTATTATGCTCTACATTGCTTTGGTTATAGTTAGTACAGTATTAAAACAAGATCCTATTGCTCTAACTACAGTAAAAGGAATCAATGCAGGCATAGGCAAAATGCAGTCCATAGGTGGCATGTCGCTACCCAATCCTTCTCTTTCCTTCTTTTCCTCTTCTCTTTTCTACCCAACCAATGTCTCCAGGACAAATAAGTGTTTACAAATGAATTAGACTTGAGGAATAAACTTGATGTTCACAGACTGAATTATATTTTATGTAGGGGGGAGTTTTAACTTTTTAAGATTTTTATTCATCAACTACTGATATACTGTGATCTACCATTTCATTTCTTTGCGCAGATTTCATCAAATTAGCCAATACAATTACCATGTCTTAGCATTGGTAATTGTATTGCAACCTCTCTTGAGTGTTCAAAAACATCTGTAGCATAAAGCGACACAATACTCATATATTTGTCTGCTTAATTTTGTGATTGGTCATTGGCAGGTAAACACTCACTTGATTTGCAAGCCTCATTGTTCAGGCAGGAGCTCTGAGGAAGTATCATTGGACATGGAATGTGCTACCATTTCTAATTATTAACTTAGTATTGGGATAGCTCTTACGTTTGAGAAAATTGAATTCTCTGCCAAGGCTCAAATTAAAGAATAGCAGTTCATCTTTAAAGTGCTGCAACACTTTAAAGGCCTTGGTGCTGGGTCCCATCACCTGTCAAGCACAGGGTGGTGGGTACATGTCAGGGCTTTCTCTGTATCCAGATCCTCAACTACCTTCCAAAGAATGTCAGATTGGCTCTATTCTTCTTGAGAATAACCTTTTCTTTGATGAGAACAGCCTTTGTTCTGATAGCCTTTGCATTTCAAAATTAGGCTTTTAAACGTATTCCTGAACTGTTTTTAAATAATGGACTCAAATACTTTATTGTACATTGCTATGGAATCTCTGAGGGGTTAAAAAGCAATCAACCAATGCTTTCAATAAATGAACATTAAACTTCTAATTCTGATTTAGGTTTTTATTGGATTACATTTTAGTTTATATAAAACTGAAACAAGATCACTATCTCAAGTTTGCTGGCTATCATGGTTACTAAACTGGCTATTGTTGCAAAATTCATTTAGTAAAAATCTCAAAGATTTCCCATTTTTAATTTTTTAAAAAACTTAAACATTGTTACAGTCTGTATAGCATTGCATTTAATTTTATGCAGGAATATGCTGCTCTGTGTCATCCTCTGAAGAAGAGTTCCTTCTATAGCAATAAATTCAAAATGCTACACTATCAGCCTTCTTCAGGAACCACTTGTGGCATGGGACGAATCTTTTCAAGCAGTGCTGCCTGTAATTGTAATGGTAATTGTTTGCAAAAATATAAGGAATGAAACGGAAAATACTTATTGACATTTACAAAGACCATTGTTGGATACACAGCAAAGTGCACTTGTCCAGTAACACGGGGTAAAATGGAAAATCCTGCTTCCTTTTTGCTCCAGTGAGTAGGAAATAAGATTGAGAAAAAGGTTGCATGGATTACATTCCAAATTTGATCTGCAGATGCAAGAGTTTTGTTGTGCAAGCAAAAACACCTCACTTTTGGCTTTTGTTGATAATCTCTACCCCTTCTCTTGTTCATGACAAAAGCACCATCAAGTGAGCTGTTATATTACGCATAATGATATCTGAGCCAGGGGACCAATATACTTCATACTTTTCTTTTCTCAGAACTCCTGATATTAAATTCTTAATGTAAAGAAGCTAAAAGTGCTAAAATATTTCTAGAGTATTTATACAACTGCATATTATGAGAGAAGACAAATGAAAATGATTTTTACACTTGCCACTTATCCCCCCCCCCTCTCTCTCTCTGTGTGTGTGTGTGTGTTTGGGTGAATCTCAGGGAAGGGAAGGGGAATGGCATGCTCCCATTTGTATTATTTCGGGCAGGGGAAGGTATGGCACTGGGGATCGGGCACTCCAGGGGAGAGAAAGATTAAATTGATCATTGAACTCTATTCCATGCTTTGTTCCTTTCCCCCATACCTCAAGATCCAGGTTGTCCCATTAGCTCACCCTCTAGGTACTGCTGGTACTGCTGCTGAACGCCAACTCGGTCCATAATGGAACACTCATCATCCATGACTTGAATGTGGACGAAGGGGCTGACCTGGTGTGTATTACTGAGTCATAGCTGAATGAGCTGCTTAGGATGAACCTCAGCTTTGCCCACCTGAATAATCAAACCAGTCTCGAGCTAAGTTGGAGAGTTTGGGGAAATAAGTTACCCTTTTCCACAGGGGCACCATCTTTCTCAAAAGGAAGCTTATATGCCCTGGCACCAGTTTTGAGGGCCTGTACCTTGTGCTGGGCCAAAGAGATAAAAGAGGGTTGCTGACGTACTGATTATCCTGCTGTCCAGCTGCCTCCCTGCCTGAGCTGGCTGAGGGGATTTTTGGATATGATGTTTCATAACCACCAGACTGTTGTTCTGAGGGACTTCAACATCTCCACTGAGGCTGCCCTGACAGGTTCTGCTGAGGATTTCATGGCAACAAAGCAGCCATCTCAATATATTGTTGACCCAATACATGTGGCAGGTCACACACTCTGGACCTGGTTTCTACCACTGGAAGAACATGGGATTATCTGTTTTCAAAGGGGTTATGAACAATTCCGTTGTCATGGTCAGATCGTTGCCTTGTGAAGTTTTATGGTAGTAGACAACAAAACAAAGGTTCAGTTCAGTTGTTCCCAGGTCCAAGAAATGGGTAGGAAACCTACTCTGGAGGGAGTCATACTCCCCCCCCCTTGAGGAGCAGGTCCACACTGTTTAAGGATACTCCTGGATTCATCTGGAAGATCATGTGAGCTCACTGGCTCACAATGCCCAAGGCCAGCTTCGACTGAGCTACAACCGTTCCAAATGAATTCTACACGTTGACAATGACCTACAAAGTCCTAAATGGCTTGGAACCTGGATATTTGAAGGAGTGCCTCTTCCTTTATAAACCAGTCCAACCATTAAGATATGTTGGGGTGGCCCTCCTCCATGTCCCACCAGCTGGAGCATCGTTTTGGCACCAAGCCAAAGCTAGCTTATTGGTTATAGCCTTTTGGGATTGAGGATTTTAGCCTGCAGAGGTTTTAAACCAACAGTTGCAATGTTTTAATGTGTTAACATTAAGAAGTTTAAATTTAAATTTTTAATGATTTTATGCTTTTAAATTGTCTTATACAGCTCCATAACTCACCCTGAGATCTTGCAATATAGCAGATATCAGAAATGTTTTAAATGAATGAATGAATGAATGACATCATACTTACACAGTTCGATTTCCAGTACACAAAATTGGCGAAAAATTCCTCTTTGCCAAACAAAAGCTTGCGGTCCACCTCTTGATTTAGTCCTCCTGAAAAAGAGTTTGATTTACAGTATGCATTCAGAATAACTCCAAAATTAAAATCAGAGACTGCTCTATAAGAACTCATTGACCTTGCATCATATGACATAAACAAAACTTTTGTGAGATGTTACAAACACTAAACTCTGTGTGAAGCTGCTAGGTTGAAATGGCATGGATTTCAGCATAAAAATGTGTTGTACACAACTAACAACACTGCTACCAAACTGCTATGATAACAGATGTTGCTTCCATTATTCATTCATTTATTTTAAAAATTAAGGGATTTTTCTACTGAAAATAGAAAACACTGTACAAATTAATACGATGAATGTTAAAGTAATAACAATTAATTATAACAAGGCACAGCAATCAATTATTAACTTTCTGTGAAGCACTTTCCATTTAAGTTCCAAATGTCCAGCTACCAACATTGAAGACAACAGTGCTTTTCAAAAGCATCTTACACTCAGGTTTAAAATCTTGACAGACCTTTGTCTTTTGTAGGGGTGGGTTTTTTGTTGTTGTGTTTTTTGTTTGTTTGTTTCTTGAGACATGGATCTAAATATAGGACTAGCAGAGGAAAAGAGTGCACTAATGCATATTCCAGCAGCTCAAGTAGGCAATGATCAGATAGCATCCCACAACTAAACAAGACAGTATGGTCTAGGTATCCATGCCCCCCACATTCTGAGCCCCCCCCAAGGATCCCTTTTGGCCTCCCAATTGTGTTTACAAGGAAAAAGGGATTACTATGGAGCCTCAGAACCTAAAAGGGGTGGACAGGAAGTTATAAACATGATTTTAAAATATGATTAAATTAAGCAGTAATGTTCCCATGTGATGACATAATTCTTACTGCAAGTTGTATCAATAGATTTTAGCCAATAAAATATAGTCTTTTCCATCCCTATGAAAATCACTATCGCCAGAGCGTTGCTACAACCAGACATTGTTACAGAAACCAGAGGTAGAATTAGTACAGAAATCATTCAGTTAGCATGGATGTAGAAGTGTAGGTCTACAGAATACTACACTTCAGGGGAAAGTTTAGATTGGAGGAACCTTCAGACTACCTAAGGTCTTTTGAAGCTACTTTACATGTATGTGTTAATACAGTAAAACACATAGCAGACAAATTTGAATGAATTTTAAACACAGACTTCTACATGTAATTGAAAAGTCAAAAAATTTACCTGTTGCTAAACTAATAACCGCCCCCACAAAGAATGTGACAAAAGTTCCTAACGTACTGAAGTAAAGATATGACAGTGAATACCAATAGTCTTGAAGAGCTGGTCTGGAAGAAACACAAAAGGTTAATTTTTTTCTCTTTAAAACTATGTTCTAAAGAAGTTCACAAAGTTTAAATGGATTCAGGGTACAATCCTGTACATTTACCTGAGAGTAATTTCTGTTACACTGAACAAGACTTCCTTCTAAGTCCACATGCTGGCTTATGATGCAATGTTAAAAACAGATGACAGATTATGGAAGAATGATTTTTCTGATCCATAAGTAGCTAACAAACATCTATTTAACATTAACACATGGCCCACTTTGTATTTAAGTTTTAAGAAACTAGAGTTTTTTTACAATTTGATTTAACAGATTTCTTAACTGCTTTCCAGGACTAAAGTCTTCCAATTTTATATTTATATGATTAGTGCGCAATGCCACAAATTAATTTTAAACAAATGTAAGCATAAACCAGTAAACCACCAGAGTGGTGCCTCGCATTACGACGTTAATTCGTTCCAGCGAAATTGCTGTAGAACAAAAACGTCGTAAAGCAATTTTAAAAAGCCCATAGAAATGCATTAAAACCCGGTTAATGCATTCCTATGGGCTGGAAACTCAACGTCCAGTGAAGATCCTCCATAGAGTGGCCATTTTCACTGCCTGTGCAGCGAGGAATCTGTCCCAGAAAAGAGCGGGGAGCCATTTTATTTTCCCGGTGGCCGTTTTGAAACCACCGATCAGCTGTGCAAAAATTGTCACTTTGTGAAGATCGGTTCCTGAAGCAGGGAACCGATCATCGCAAAGCGAAATTCCCCCATAGGAAACATTGTTTTGCAATCGCTTTTGCGATCACAAAAGAGTCAACGTCAAGCGGTTTCATCGTAAAACAGAGCGCCCGTCTTAAATCAAACAATTTGATTTAACAGTTAAGAAATCTGTTAAATCAAATTGTAAAAAAACTCTAGTTTCTTAAAACTTAAATACAAAGTGGGCCATGTGTTAATGTTAAATAGATGTTTGTTAGCTACTTATGGATCAGAAAAATCATTCTTCCATAATCTGTCATCTGTTTTTAACATTGCATCATAAGCCAGCATGTGGACTTAGAAGGAAGACTTTTATATACAGTATATATAAAATGTACAAATCCAAAGAAAAACAAGCATTCAAAACCCTCTTAAAGCAGATGGGACAACCTAAAATTCTTGGGAGTGGGCTCCACAACATATTGGCCACTGATGAGAAGACTTTAGTTCTCCCAAGACTTACAGATCTCAGCAGTGGGCCAGCAAGTACAGCCCTTTGATTCTGACAATCTTAATACACAAGTCGGTTCACACAAAAAAACAGGCAGTCCTAAAAATAACCCACTACTGAGGTCTTTAAATATCAAAAATAGCACTCTGCATTGGGAACACATCAGTAGTCCTTGCAGCTGGTACGGAATTGGCATTTTCTGTTTATTAAGAAAAAAAAACCTGCATGGCAAGTGGTTAAAATGTACCAACATTGTTTGCAACTGTTCAGGTGATGATGCCACCTATTAGACCTTGTCCATTAATTCATGTCTCTTCAGTTTTACAACTGTCTTTTAAAAATTCACATGCTAGTTATCAGAACCACAATTTTCAAACTGATAAAATATTGATTGGTAATTAAAATTAACCTAGACAAATATTCAGTATTTCAATTCTACTTCTTCCACTGTTTGTTATCATACTTTTCTTTCCAAAAGGATGCTCAAAGAGGTCAACAATGACACACTAAAACAGCCATTCTTGGGGGGCCCTGGCACACTTGAAGGCAGCCACAGATAAGAAACAATTCTTTGTGTACCACCTTAAAAGGCTCACTATGCAACGAGTGCAATCCTGATTCGGCCTACTTTTTTTTCATACAGTGTTTATGACAGTGGTCAAAAACAGATTGACAATTGCTGCATTAAAACATCAATAAAAACAAAGTATAAAAAGTGCCAGAACAAATACAGTAACATAAACAAAGAAATCTGATATGAAAACTCATTCCCATCATAGCTGACTTTTTAACCTGACACAAAATTGATTTGTCGCACAGACCTTGGAGAAGTTGGAGGAGGCAGAGTGGTTGTTATATGTTCAACCACTGTGAGGTTGGGTCTTCTACAACCCTGAGTTGAAAGAGGTAATGGCAAAGTTCTGTGGGGAGGGGGAGGGTACTTGTGAGATCCAATTCCAACCCACAGTACGAGAAGAAATCCACAAATAAGGCCTGAAAATGCACCCTGAAAGATAGAATGTTACACTGAATGAAAACAGCAGTAACTAAAGAAACGGATTATCTTAAAAACCTATGTTGCCTACCAAATATTTAAAGTTGTCCACATACAGCTTTCATAGGTTGTTAATACAGTCCAATTATCTGTTGCCCCTGCAAGAGTACTAGGGATGGGATTTGTAATTCCAGGAGCCCCAGCCCCAGAAGTAAGCTATAATCCCCTCTGCAGACTTCTTTCTGGGACCAGGAGAAAAGGCATGAGAGAGGTCCTCCTACTACCATTATCTGCTTCACTGCAAGTGCTTTGGCTAGAAAACGGAAAGGAACACCTCCTCTGTCTCAGTGCTTCCTGGGAGTCACCTCACTGATTCATGATAAGGGTAACCTTGCTACGCATTAGATTCTATAGGGGGGTCCTCAATAAAATACTCCTGGAGGAAGCACAATTTCCATTTACACACAATAGTTCACCAGGTCTGTTTATAAGCGTCCTTAAAAATGCGTTTTAAGGTTTAAAACAAACCTGAGAAGATTGTAACTATGTTTTAAATTAAAATCTCAATGTTCCCAAAAGCACAATTTACTGGGGGGGGGGGAATAAATCTGTCAGGAGACATCACCAGACCTTCACGGGTACAGTGCTAGTTTTGATGATCACATTCAGCCCAGTGGCCTGCCCACCCACACAGAAGCAAACAAAACATCACCAAATGAACCTCACCAAAATACACACCTTTAAAATAATAAATACAGAATATGTTAGCCTAATAATTATTTTAAAAAACTAGTCAAAAACAGAAAGCGTTTACACACACACAAACACAGAGGGGGAAATAGCAAAAATTTTAAACCACACAGAGACTCCTCTCCCAAAAACCAAGAAAAGCAAGAAAACAAATACATACTGGCAAAAAATACAATCAAGCCGGCCTCCTCCAGTGCAAACCAAAATTACCAGAATAGATGATTTCCTCTTTCCCTACCACTTGACTCCTTCTCTTCTCTCAATTCAATTACAAAGCAGGGCAAATCAAATCTGAAGGAGGCATGCTGCATAGACAGGCGGCTAGAAGTAGCAAAAATAATTCAAAGAAACCCATTAAAAACATGAAAAAGAAAGGATCCAAGATGGAGTAAGGAAGCCATCAATCCAAGATGGAAGATAGAAGGGACTCAGCACAACAATCAACTGAAGCAAAGCATGCTCCTCACTGTTTTCCAGGCCCTTCTACAAATTCAAAGTTTGCTAACACTATTGGATGAAAATAAATCTTAGTTTTCACTGACAAAATGGCACTGAGAAGTTACAAAGAGAGAACACGAAAGAAACACAAATGTTTTGTGTACCTCTCTTCCATAAACATGAATCATTTGTATTTTGAAGTCTCTCTTTTGGCAATGAAAAGAGTAATTCATGCTGAAAGAACACAAGTTTCGTCTGTCATTTAAACACTAAAGGCCATCCCTAAAGAAAACTTGTAAGCTTTTTGTTTTTGCCCGTCCAAATGCAACAAACAAGGTCCTCTCAGACTTTTACCAATTTGCTCCTTTCCCAGGAGATTACAGCAGTCCCTACACCAGTCCCTACATTCTTTAACATGTAAAACAGAGGCACCAATATGCATTACTGAAACTCCTCAGAAATTTAAAATTTATTTAAATTAAACAAAATGCATCATTTGTCTTTTTAGATACTAGCGTGGTTTCAACTATGTACTAGATGAAATCACTGTTCAGTGTTCCATAAAACCATAAGTAATGACATGACATATATATTCAACCTCCCGTGGTACACAGTGGTTTTCTGCATGTTATTGTGGTTTAAGACAAAACTATGGTTTGGTGATTTAGATGAAATGGCAAATGATGGTTTGCCTTCAATAGTGTAGGTAAAGAAGAAGAAAGGATGAGGAGAGAGGGAATACCATGACACCCTTGGCTGGGTTGGAAAATAACAATCTCACATGCAACTTAACATTGGGTTTCAGTAGGAGGAAGCGTTCTGAAACTAAGGTGACTATCTTTTGCAATAACCAATTAAATTCCTCTCCACAGAAGCTTAATGAGAGCACAATTCCCCCCCCGTCATCCTCAACTGCCAGCACCTTCTTTGCTTAGCCCAAATCAATGCCTGAGGAAGCTTCTGCACAAGATCACACTTTTCTGCATCAGTTCAACAAATGTAGATGGATCCAACATTAAAAGAAATAGAAGTTTCAGCAGCAGAGGGGCTAAAAACTATGGATTTGAGGGTGGAAACTTCGGGTTAATTCTCATTTGATTTTATAGCATGTGTCAAATGGAAAACAATGCAAATCAGACTGTCCCAAACCTGTAACATTTCCCACATTTTATGTCAATGTAAGTGCATTACTGTACTTTATCTCCTTCCCTCTTCCTCTGTTTATCTATGTACAACATAGATTTATTACCTATATAAATCTATGATGTAATGATGACATCATTCATGGCTTCTGAAACAATACAAAACAAAGAACAAAATTCCCCACACTATTTAACATGAGGAGCATTTCGCAACATGCATACTTACTTTCGCGTTTCCAAAAGGCAACAGGACACCCACAGAAAATACTCCCAAAAGAGGTCCACCAAGTATCCCAAAAATACTGAGTGCAGCCTAAAAGAGGGGGGGGAGAGAATCACAAACCTTTACAGACATAGGAAGAAGCAAAAAGAGCATATTTGATTTTCCAAGAAAATGGATTTCCTTCAGGGGATAGAGAGCATTCTGCAGTTGGTAACACTTCCCATCAAACAGGGGACAGTGGTTTGGATTGAGACTAATAGAGTTGAACGTACGTCCATTTATCTCACAGGGCCAAATCAAAACTTAACTTCTGCAGTTCTTTGAGAGTATCAGCAAGCATGTAGAATGAGGTGATCCAGAAGACACCTGTATACCTGTGTTTGCAAAATGTTTTTGAGTAAATGTAGCACCATGGGAAAAAAGCCTTCCTACAGTTTTGTCAGTGGTTAAAGAAGGCAAAGCAGAGAGCAGAAATAAATGGACAGTTCTCAGAAGGAGTGCATGTCTATAAAGAGCAGAGTTCTCAAAGGATGTAAGGGTGAGCAGTCACGTGGACAGTTAGTGCTACTACTACTATTATTGCTTATTAACATTTCTCTTTAAGACAAGTCAAAGAAAAGAAAAGCAAATGCCCCCCTGTTGCCCTCTCCTATCTGCTTCTGCTTCCTGAAAAAGTCTGCTACTTTAAAAAAAATGTAAGTACTGCAGCACATCTGCAGCCCTAATAGGGTCTAATTTTTTTAAAAGTTCCTCTGCCTCTAAGTCTTACACCTCAGCCAGATGCCCAAGCAAAATGGTCTCAGATATCCCATTCTGCTAAATATTCACTGTAACAAAAACAAAGAATGCAATACCCGCAAAACAGCTGAATGGGCAATCAGCGCATGGCAGATGTAGTTCAGAGAAAGTATACAGTGATACACAATGGGACAGAAAATGCTATCCACATATAAACCAGAGCTGAGGGTGACTAACCAGAAATAAAACATTATTAGGTATAGTGCCAGGAGTGATATTGGAATTTATTTAGATGTGATTTTAATAAACAAACTCATGTGTTCTGTGAAATGGGTGTTTTGTTGGAAAATAATACATTTTAAACTTTGTAAACTTTTATAACTACCACAGCTACTATGTCAGGCATTTTGTCAATTGGCAAGCCTCTATAGCAACCATTTCGTATCTCTGACATTTCCTCAAATTCCAAATCTGTCCACAGTTCCAAAAAATATTAAAGATCTTGCTTTCAGACACTGTTTCCTTTTTCTTTCTTTCTCCCAATGGGTGCATGTTCATATGTGTCTGAGGTCTTGTAACTAAGCCAGTCACTACCAGTGGGAGCGACAATAACTGACAGTCTTCTGTGCTCTTTTATCTGAAGATCTACATATATAAAGTAGCAGTTGCAAAAAAAACCCCATTTTCTAATTGGTGAGAGTACTAAAACTGAATTAACAGTTCAGGTATAGAGTCGTGATATACTATATGCTATGCTTCTTTCCCAACAAACAAAATTCTGATTTGTTTTTGCTTTTTATTCTCTGGAAATATATATTATATTTCAGGCATAATCTTATTCTCAGGCAATTTAAGATCAATACAATTAGCTATTCCATGCCTACCTGTAACAGAGCACCCACAGCAGATGCCATTGCAGCCATGAAAAGGCATATTACACCAAACAATATATCTAAATGGATAAATGAGTAGATAAAATTGGTATAACTTATTCAAACACGTAATTGACTGAAAGGTTAAAAGTTAACTACTCCTCTACCAATAATAAATGAAACACAACGATTAGGATTTGCTTCTAGGAATGGTCAAAACCAAACAGATACCACATTCTTGTTCTTTTAAAAAAAGAATAACTATCAGTGCAGTATTACAAATACTGTATAGCACTAACTGCTAGACATTAATTTAAACAAGCAATTACCATATGGTCCAAATTTTTATCCAAATTGTTCTATTAGACAATTATACTAGAGAGTCAAAGTAGTTCAACTATTATGGATGGATTTGCATATTGTCACATCTGACACAGAAAATATTTAAACTGTAACTCTAATGCTCCCAGTACAGATCCTAAGGGCAGAGGAAAGGCTGTATCTCCCCATTTAAGGCCAGGTAACGATTGAAGAGGGGGAGGAGAGAGAAGGTTTATTTTGGAAGAGAGGCAAAAACATATATCCTAGCTTCAGACTCAAGAGCTCTGACACCATTAGAAGTAGAAAGCAGATGAAATCCAAGAGGTGGCACAGAGAACTGGGGGGAAAGGAGCGTCAGACCCAAAGTATTTCCAGTCTTTGACCATGCTCAGAACAAAGAGAAATGTTGCATCAGTTCTGGAGCTGCCATAAATAATCTCCAACACTGCTGGCAAAAAAGGAGATCTATCAAACACTCCCCTACCTCTGGTTTCAAAGGAAAAAAATGTTTGTTTGTTTAATATATTCATGAAGGCTTTCACGGCCGGGATCTAATGGTTGTTGTGGGTTTTTCGGGCTCTTTGGC